TCCCTTAATTATAGCTACATAAAAATCTCTTAATTATAGGTATATACTAATCTTTTAAAACAACAATATTTAATTAATAAAATCAAATGTAAGGAAATCCCCTTAAATCAAGTGAAACACAATAATGTCTTCTCAATCCCCAATTTCAAAGAATCTCTTCCATTCCGCTCCTCTCTTACACCTTGGCCTTTAAATCAGTTACTTGAAATCTGACATAAATTATCAATCCATCTCTTTCTACAACAGAGAAAAAATAAGCTGGCATGAAAGAAATTTGATTTTTTAAGGATGATTTTTTTTATTCTTCTGTTGCAGATATTGGTTTATGATTTATGCAAACCCGAGCATAAGTTAACTGTTGTAAATTAAATGTTATAAATCTGGACATAAATTTATGTATAATAACTCACTTTCTGTCATTGCAATCGATTTTTTATTCTTTTAAGAATGATTCGTATTTTTTATTTAATCGATTTAAAAATACAGGCAGCACCCGGGCATTCGCCCGGGGCAAGCATCTAGTATATTAATTAAAGAGGTCCTCATTACATTTCTGCCTTTGTATCTTAATCCTTAAACCTACTCTAACCACTTAATTTGGTCCTGATACACATATGCAGTCAAAAAATTTTGGATTAGTTTTGAAATTCTGACTGCTATACTACATATTTAAGTTTTATTATTTGGTGTTCCATTTATTTTTAAATAAGATACATATTTGTTGTATTAAAATAAATCAATTAACATGATTCTTATTTTAGGACATAAAGAATACTAAATAGACACCTAACACATCGAGTCCACCATGAAGAACCCTTCTTAGTCCAAGTGGATTTAATTATTAAGAAGATATTTTAATTAATCAACCTAATTGAAAGGGTTAGTGAATAAATTATCAAATGTCACCATTGGTGGCCATGATTAAGTGATGTGGACATCACCAAGAAAAAAAAAGGGCGAAAATAGAAAGGGTGAAAAGGAATTGAAGAAAAGAGATTGTACGTGCCTTTCAACCATTATACATCTCCACCTACCACACAATAAAAGTCCATCATCTTCCATACCTTTTCTTTATAGTTCTTTCTTCACTTCACCAAACCCTCTTCAACATTCATTCAATTTTTATTATCCAAAGAAAAATGGGGAAAAAAATGTATGGCATTACTTCTAATTCTAATCAATTAAATCGTGTATCATTTTCTTCATCCTTAGTGTAGTCGAGTAGTACACGCCTTCCTTTTCTGTTGGCTCAAAGAACATTTTGTATTTGTTTGACATTTAATAATAAGGAAAAAAACAACACATAAGCGTAGGAAAATACAGTATTTGGAGTTCAGAAAGGAGAAAACAAATGATTAAGGTTAAACAAATTCACTGGATATATTCACGACCTGATCCATCAGGTATACGTTTCATCCATTATTGAGGTCGAATTGATTAAAATTTCTAAGGATAGAATTAGCTGTACCGCTTCTTAAGAGTAGTATTTTCTTAGGACCACATTTTAATTATATACTTTTCTGTTTCAAAATTATCCTTCTTTTTTTATGATACAAAATTAAGAGGATAGTAATTTGAAACGAAAGAAGTATTTGCGATGAAATTTAGATTTTGATTAATGATTGCATGGTAGAAGGTACATGATCGAAGTCAATTAATGAAAAATAGAGCATGAACGAGGCCTTGCACGGGAGGCTAACTCAAAGAAACGAAATACAAAGAAAAATCATCCCCTTCAAGTATACTTTTCATATGTTTTAGTCTACTTGTTGTTGGCTGCTTAGCTACGATGTAAACTACTTGAATACTTCATTTCATTTTTGACGTACTACAATGCTGCTATTTTTAACTTTAAGGCCAATTTTGTTGTTTTTGTTTTTGTTTTTTTTTTTTCAATTTAGTAATGCCACATGATTGGGTTTGGTTCACAAGAAAGGTCATTTGCTACAAAATTTATCCAAATTAATAAGCTAAAAATAGCTCTTGATTGTCTAAATTGGTTGGTAAGACAAGACATCTAACATGCGGATTACCAAAAAAAAAAAAAACATGCGGATTTCAACCTCCATAACAATTGGATATGTCTATAATTTTATGACTTAGATTCGCCAACATTAAAAAAATCTACTAGCTAGTGCTAGTTAGTTTGTGTGAAATGATCGTCTTAATTGAGATATATAAAAGGTCGTATTTGGTTTGAAGTATAATTAAAAACATCAAATATAAAAAAGAACACAGTGTATAAAGAAATTTATTATGGGCACTGAAAGGATTAAGATACAAATACCTAGCAACCTCCCTCCTCTCTCTCGTTTTAGTTTTTCATAAAATCATAAGACACCTCCTTTTTTGAGTAGTTCCAATTTGTAGTCTCTCAGTGACGGATTCAAGGGAGTCAGGGTGGTCAATCGACCCCCGGACGGCCGGATTTGGCCAAATTTTTTTTTAGTAGGGTGTCTGTTAATTGAAATTTTTTCAGTTCGACCTTTTAATGACGGTTGAATAATCTTATTTTCGACTCCACGTTTTGAAAGTTCTCGTTCCGTCATTGTAGTCTCTCACTTTGCTTTTTATATTTAAAATTTGTTAATGGTATTCAACATATTATTCATTTCTCTTAGAACGTCGAAATGAATTGTTGTTCATTGAAAGTTACAAAATGAAAGTAAGAAGTTACTAAGAGCTAAATAAACAAACAGATTGAGCGAAGGTGTCACAAATCTTGCATAAATGGTTTTGGATAGTCTTTGATATTGAAACAGTAGAGTGTCATACACGTTTCCCCCCTATTAAATTGTGGCTAGTGTAAGACTAGCTAAATAAATAATAATATTCCAAACGCAATCGAAATCATTTACCTTATATGCCAATCTTCTATCTCAAAATATTAAGTCCATTTGTTATACTAGAATAAAAAAATATACAGGACAATTATTTTGAAAAAAAATAACCCTAATACTTATTTTTGTGTAAAGGTAGATAATGACTATCAACCTCATTTTTTCTTCCAACTTTTCTCATGATCTTGAAAGGTTGAAAAAAGTATCTATTCTTTGTTTCTTAAGTCTTAATCCAAATCAATATAATATGTCATCAAACCTTACGTATTAAAATTTCCGGAGGGAATTAAAAGGAATGAAAAGAATACTATAAGAGACCTGGGCTGGCTTACCGTTGATTAGATTATTTCTTCAATCCAAAAATATTAACGACAATTTTGAAAGCAACGTGGAATTAATAGTCCGAACAAAATGATTGAAGCAAAACTGGCAGAATCCAGAAACAATATACTACAAGCCTCAACAAAGTACTCCTACATAATTTTCCGATCCTAAACAAAGCTTAAACAAGAAGTTCTGTGCTTTTTCGGTCCAAAATAAAGCCGTACTTTTCACTTCTCAACATATAAGCCTATCCGAAAAGGCGAAAACAGTTCACCTTACTTTAGGCGGAGAGTTAAGCAGGATGGTTGGAAATTATAGAATTAGGGGATGATAATTTTCTAATAATAAGAATAGACATGGAGAATCATTTGGAATGTTAATTTTACCTTAGGAATCCATTGAAAGTATTAGTGTGTGTGTGTATATATATATATATGTGTGTATGTGTGTATAAATATATATATATATATACATATATATAATCTTTAGGAATGTTAATTTTACCTTAAGAATCCATTGGAAGTATTAGTGTGTATATATGCGTGTGTGTTTGCGCGCACATATATGTTTTTGGTTAACATTAGTATATTTCTTCATGACAAAATTATCCTCGCTCTGGTCCTTAAAATAATATATTTTTATTTATCCTAAATTTTACTTGATATGCATTTTTAGTTAAGAAAAAAAATTTAAAAATCTAAGTTTACATTCGTTGCATTCTTTTAATTATTTAAAAATATTTTTGAGATTTTTTTCTCAATTAAAAATGTGTACTAGGTGAATGACTTATGACAAAGGAGAACAATTTATTAGATCGCGCACTCTTCCCGTACGTCATGATTCAATATATTGATGACCGAGCCCCCAATTATTCTTGAACCGCCAGTTTAAGGTTTCTAGACACACCTAAGTAAGGAGTGGGGACGTTTAAGGGTTTTAGGTTGGAAAATTATTATTAATACAAGATTCGGGGTCGATGATATCATTACAGAAACAAATTACTTATAAAACAGAACCAATATATTTTAAATGAAAATTTAAAATCAGACTATTATTTTGAGTGAAGAGAATATCTATTCTCTCGTTCCAAAAAATTTTCAGAAGAAATTAGAGGAATAAAAGGATATACTAATAGGCATGAAATGACATTAAAAAAAAAAAAAAAGTGAAAGGGACATAAAAAGCCGGAAGAAGATGATATTTGGACTTGGTTTAATGTGAAGGAAAGGGTATCAACTTAGAATGATTCCTCCTCATCATGGGGTAAAATAAAACTCACACGAACTTGTGTAGCTTTTCATCATTTAATAAAAAAGATGCAACAAAAACATCACATTTCAAAGAAGAATGTAGACAAGAGGACATTCGACTGTCTCATTCAACAATTTTGATGGTATTTTCAAAATATTTAAATAATAACTGTCTTATTTCAGCATAATTTTTTATATTTTTAATACACCTTTTTATATTCTCAATACAAAAAACACCTGAAAATACACACTAAAAAATCAAAACAAACATACTTCACTTCATGAATCTAAGGATCAGGGCAAAAAAAAATCTCAATGTCAATTTCCAATTATTATAAATTTATAATAGTACTACTTCCAAAAAGAATACCGCTCAAATCAGGAAAAGAAATTTCTAAAAAAAGTAATACTCCCTCCTTCTCATAATTATTGTCCAGTTTTACTAAAATGAAAGATTTTATTTTTGGTCAAATTTAACTATATTTTATCTTAAACAATCGGATATATCCCTACATAAATAATTGTTTAACCACTAAAATTTTATGGATAATATTTTTTATTAAGGACAAATGTATAATTTGATCCATAAAAAGTCAAATTGGACAATAATATTGAAACAAAATTTTTTGGACAAAGTGTACAATAATTATGGGACGGAGGGAGTAATACTGAAAGAAAAGTGTAATAAAAAAGTAAAAGCAGTAGTGTATATGAATTTTGGTTCAATCATTGTCCTTCCAGTATGACTGAAAACATTGGCTGACATAAAAATGTCTGAAATAGTTCCAGTATCCTCCCACAATAGACCCACCTACATTTTCCATCATATATTTACCCACAATTTTGACAAACAATAATAATACAACAAAAAAATAGTAATTCATTAAAAACCAAAAAACATTTATTGGACAGAGAATTCACTATAATTCCAAATTCTCAATCCAGAAAACTCTCTCTCTCTCTCTCACTGTAATTTCTTCCAGTCTCCTTTTTTTTTTTTTTTGAAAAATAAAAAAAAAGTAAATAACATTGTAATTCTTTTTTTTTTTTTTTGGTTTTCCAAATTGGGAATTTGGGATGGTGATGGAATTTACAGGAAGAAGAAGAGAAAAAACAATGGTGGAAAGGAAAACTATTATTCTCCCGGGGAAGGACTCCACGGCGTCATATCCATCGGATAACTTCCCAAAACCCTCAAGAAAGACGTGAATTCCTGAACCTCGGCCAAGGCGTTCTGTGCCCGGACCTCCGCCATCGACGCCTCGAAATCCACATAAAACATATACTCGAAGTGCTTCGCCGTGCCGACGTTGGCGTCGTCGACCAGCCGGATCGGCCGGTTCCGGTGCGGCCGTGACTCGATCTTGGTGAGGCTGATGTTCCGGAACGCGAACGCCGACAGCACCTTGAACAGCACGCTGGTGCCCTTGTCGTGGGCGAACACGATGCTGGTCTTGAACGGCCGGTCGGTCCGGGGGATGATGGGCTCCCTCGCCAGCATCACAAACCGGGTCACGTTGCTCGAGTCGTCCTGGATCCCGTCCGCCAGGATCTGCAAGCCGTACAGCTCGGCGGCGCGTGAAGACGCAATCGCCGCCGTGTCGCGGAGGTTGTTCGCCGCCACGAACTCGGCGGCGCCGGCCGTGTCGTCGACGGCTTCCCTGGCGACGTTGAGTCCCATTTTGGTGAGCGTGTGCTCGCACTGGGCCAGGGCTTGAGGGTGGCTGATGACCCGGCTGAGGTACTCTTTTCTGACTCCGGGAAGGGCTAATAAGCAATGGTGAACTGGGAGTTGGACTTCGCCGACGATGTGGAGGCGGTGGCGGAGGAGGAGGTCATAATTCCGGTGAATTGAGCCGCCGAGGGAATTCTCAACGGGAAGGACGGCTCTGTCAGCAATCCAGAGCTCCACGGCTTGGAATGCAACTTCGAATTGGTCACAGGGAATGGCTTCGCATTTCGGGTAAGCTTTTCCGGCGGCGGCTTCACTGAAAGCGCCCGGAACTCCCTGGTAAGCTACCCGGAGCTTCGAACCGTGCATCGGAGCAGGCGAGAGATCCGCAATCGTCAGCGCCTTGGGAAGAGAATCAATCGGGACGAGATCCAGAGACGCAGACGCCGCCTTATGGCCATTCACGGCGGTGATTTGCCCGCCGGCGCCGCCACTCTTCTCCGTGTCCTGCTGCTGAGAAACCACCTTGCTAGCTAAAATGGCACATGCACTCTGCCAATCCGCCCGGCTCCCTCCACCAACAACTCCCCCGATGTTGAAACTGGCCGGAGCCGTCACAGCCGCCGCCGGTGAGCCGTTAGCACCATTGACATTGTTGACTTTGGTGCTGGCCGACGCGGAGTCGAATTGGTAGACACTCCGAACAACCAGTCGAGCCGGGTTGGAGCTGACCCGGTGGTTGAAAGTCAGACTTAGCGGCGGCTGAGTCGTAGTAGTTGGAGAAGTTCCGGGAATAATGGATTTGAGAGCACCGGAATTCATTAATCCCGACGAAGAAGTAGAATGAATGGATTGCATAGCTCTATATTTTGTTCAATTGGGCCGTTCAAAAATTGCAGCCTGGAAATTGGGGGATTCCGATTTGAACAGAAAAAAAAAAAAAAAAGTGGTAGTTGGAATTGAATGGTAGATTATGTAAGTCAAGTCCTATCTGGTGTACAGAAAAAGCTTGTAAGTTCTTCTTTTCTTCTTAAAAAAAAAGAAAGGAACGTCCAAGCTGAGATATCAAATGGGGAGGGTCAGGGTATTTATATTAGGTGGATTTTGGGTCGAATGGTTTGGGTCAATCTCACACCTACCCCCTCTAATTAAAAATTCCATTTTTTTTTTTTACATTTTCTTGTGTCTTTCCTTTTTCGGCTTCCTCATATTGAAGGTGGAAATGAAAATTGCATTTTTCATCCCAAAGTTTGGGTTTGTGAGAAAATGGGTACCCTTTTAATCACGGCACTCCCATCATGATTATATTTGTGGTAATATTCTTCTAATCACTTTCTTAGTTCGTCATGAGATCACTTGTCACCAGAAACATTAATAACTCTACTTTTTCTCTAGTCTGGTTATTTAGATTTGGTGACACTTATTTACTTTCTATACCTCGAGAATCTAATAATTAGTACGATATGAGTAAGTGATAGAAGGTATCAGAAGAAACAAAATTTTTTTAAAAAAAAAAAATAACGGAGATGACATTTTGGTTTTATATGAAAAAGAAACATAATCGGTATGGAATCGACCAACATGTGTTACTAGTTGGTTATGCTTGAAACACATTTTTTTTTTAAAAAAAAACACTTTTTAAACACAAATCTCATTATAAATAAATACAATCCAAACACTTTTTAGCCAATGATTTTTTTTTCCTTTTTCTTTTAAAACACTTTTTAAACACAAATCTCCTTACAAATAAATACCATCCAAACAATATTTTAACTTAACTTTTAAAATTTATTTCATACATTATTTTCACCTAATTTTCTCTTCCACCAACACTGTCACCGGACAACCACCTCCCACCGTCGCCGACCAGATTCCGTCGAGTTGGCCAGAAATTTTCGGGATTTAACCAGTTGTCCGGCGATGGTGGAGGTGGTCCGATGGCGAAAGTAAAAAAAAAAATTATTTAGAAAACCACTCAACAACTATATTTTCATTCAAAACACCTTTTAAAAACACATCTCAAATCTGAAACGAAAATGAAAACAAAAACGTTGTCAATTCAAGCAAGTACGAAAAAAAAGATTAAGGACTAAAAATGTCACTAGGTGAAAGTTTAGGGCCCTACAAGTGTTTTTTCTTTTAACTCTTTTGTTGCTTTGTCATACTTTCTTAATTACAATAAAGAATATTAGTATGTACAAGAGTTTTTGTTCTTCTTCTTCTAATTCTTTTAATCTATTTTGAAATCGTAAGTACAATTGTTATTTAGGTCATACAATAAAGTTCGAATCTGTGGATAAAATACGTGTCGTACAATCCCATGATTTGTTAATAACAAAGCTTGCACCAATTTATTTTTAATATCACATAGCCCCAAATTATTGACAGTTGGTCATCGAATTGACATGGTTTTGCCCCATCAGAATGAGTTTTTTGAGTTTTGGGACAACCCCAGGTTGGCAACTGGCAAGTTTATAATGCAGCTATTTTGGCTAAAGTGAACAAACATCTAGTTGGAATTTTGGGTAATCAATTTAGTGATAAATTTCTTTGCTTTTGTTGGTAAGTTTGGTTCCTTTATCATCAAACTCGACGGCTTTTAGTCTTAAGCGAAAAAAATGACACGACAAAAGTAGAAGGTAATGCACCCAAAAAAAAAACAAAAAAAAAAAAGAATTGGTACGACTTGTAGTATCTTTGGAGTAGTGTGTTTTATCCATTGTCTATGAATCTGTCCTACTCTATATATATATATTCATTACTAAAATCAAATTCCTCAATTTGACTATTTTAGTCGGGCGTTGGTCACAGAGAAAAATTAATCCAAAAATTCATATTTGACCCATTTAGTTTGCTTTGCGTCATTTCTTTGCAAAATTTAATAAAGATTCATGCAGGAATTGGATTCCAAAAGCATGCAAGATTTTTTTTTATTTTTTTTTTTATTTTGCGACCGAGAATACTTATCCCAATTAGGCAATAAATGTACGGAGGGTTTGATATTACTGCAAGTACAAACGTATTTTCACGAAATCCAAGCTAGGGAGTACAGTTGTTTTACCAATCTTTATTTTATGACAGTTTAATAAAATTTACCTTTTACCTAAGAAATTTTTCACCAGAAGCAAAATGAATAATGGTTGAGAAATGTTTTGTAAGTTGTTAATTAAATTAACCTATTAATTCTTATTTGTGATTATTGAAACTTAAAGCTTTGTGACCTGCTGTTACTTTCTCTGCCCCACCTACGTATATACATACTATACTATTTTTCTCTAAGAAAATCATTTAAGTTTTCGCAAACGTGTTAACATTTCTTACTTCATCAGAGAGTTTTGAAAATTATTACTCACGTTTTAATACACAAAAAAAAAAAAAAATCGATTCTGAAAATGAACAAATGGTTTTAGTCAAATTTAATTAATAGTACTCCCTCCGTCCCATAATTATTGTCCTGTTTGAGTTTTCATTTTTAGTTCAATTTGTACTAAAAGTGAAAACTCAAACAGGACAATAATTATGGGAAGGATGGAGTATCATTTTAGCAACAGAACATCCCTGATGATACCGTTCATGCAAGGTTTCAAATAAGTCTTCCCTTTTGTTTTTAGGCGAGATGTTCTTCGCACTTTCGCTAACTCGTGTTGAAAGTCATTTAAGAATGGCATAAGCGTGTTAATTGTTTTTTTCCTTTTTTTTTTACCAAGTTTCTTGTAACGTGTATGAAGTTTGAAACTTAGTTATCATGATGGACACTTAACCAATATTTCTTCCCACAGTCATAATTATAAAACACAAATTAATATTATAATTAGTTTAAATTTATGGCTTATAATTATATCAAAGAGAGTATATTCGTTTTGAAGTGATTGTCCAGTTTATTATACTGTTAAAATGTGTGCATTATTTTGATCAATCTATTTGGTTTATTTTTCATAAACGATGAAAACCCTAACATTGAATCTCACCCGGGTCTAAATCACGTACTAAGAAAGAGATTCCGAGTACAGCTCTATTGGCAAAGAAGGAAGCTTCTTGTCAAGTGAGCTTGTTCTACTCCCCAATTTACCTAAATATATTTGGTGGAATTGTTTACCACCTACCGGCTACTTGCTAAAAGCATGTCCTTGGACCTTACCAACTATATTTTTATTGTGGATATCTTCCTAAAATTTGATGAGCTCATAATTGGGATACTAATTATTTCATTTTCCCTCCCTCTGTATAAGAGAAATATTCACATTATATTTTGTGATTTGTACTTTTATATGTTGGTCCTTGCCAACCATAAATTTATTGTGAATATCTTCCTACAGTTTGATGAGAACATCATTGAGACACTATTACTAATAGTTCATACTCTCTCCCTAAAAAAAATAATTCACATTGTATTTTTGTATTTTGTTTTATTTTTTATAGAAATCACGAAATATAATATGAATTCTTTTTAGCACTGATGGAATATCAAAATATATACTTGACATTTTTGGTCGACACTGGAGATTATTACCGAGTCTTCTTTGTTCTTAGCACGAGATGAGCTTATACAATACTAGTCCTTACCTAAGTGTTAGGTAGATTGGTCGACGCATTCGTTACAAGATATTTTAAAAAAACTGATATACTATCTCCGTCCCAAAAAAATAGTCCTGCAAATTCAATGTGACGTATTTTTTTGGGACGGAGGGAGTAATTTTGAGTTATTTCAACTATCTTTATTTCCCGCAAATTAGTATTCTATTGAAAGCACATTGGTGAGTGTCAGAGTAATATGATAGATTAGCTGTGGTAAAACTAACAAATGTCTTGCATGTATCCATTCTAAAAGACAGGAGTTTAAATCTCATAATTATACTATAATTCAGTATTTCTTTAATTATAACGAATCACTTGTTTATTCGAGAGATTAAACTTGTCACTCTCTAGGTAAATATCCCCGTTAAGTATTTTACTCTTCTATTTATTCATTTATAGGAAATGGAATATATACATTTTTATTATCATACAAAGCTGATCTAAAAATTTTTGGTGGTTGTTGAGAAAGAAAAGGGCTTCAATTCAATAAACGACCCCTTCGTGCCCAACTTGGAAGACCCATAGTGACAACGACTATTTGAGACCCTAAACCGAACACGTAAAACGTTATAAAACATGCATACATCATATTGGTGACTTCTATGTATGAACTCATTTTGTGTACCTACCATTTTCTGAAATTTCCTAATATCTCACCGTTGGTTTTGTATAATATTTCCATAATTTTGTTATTCCAACGGTGCATAATCTGTACATAACATTTGTATAATGCATGTAGAGATGTGGTAGTTGTCTTGGATTGGAGAATTATCTTCTAATTTGACAAAGTTAACGTATAACTGTCACCTTTAACATGGAATTCTTCATGTCTCAAAATTATATTGTAATGATACATACGACTTAGTGCAATTTGAGATAATACGTGTGATTTTGATATTGTCGCAAGTAGAAGAATTTGGAGTGTACATGTACATTTATTTTAAAAATTTTATTTATTGAATTAAATAACAATGTACGTGACTGAGATACGACTAAGTGGATAGTTGCTACCCATGAAGTACTGTGATAGCTAATTTAGTATTTTAGATATTGATTTTTTTTTTACCAAAAAAAAATAATAATAATCGTGATTCTAATTTTTTTTTTTCTGGTTGCATTTTTGGGGAAACTGTGGAAGTACTATGAGTTTCCCATCTGTTATATATGGAAGGAGCTTCAACCTTTTAGCCTCCTCGTAAATGAAAGCCATTGCCAACTCTAAAAGAAAATTAATCATTAAGATTTTTAGGTCCCCAGTTGTGTAAAAATATGCTCATTCAAATATAATCAGTCACAAAATGAGTATAAAAGACCAAATTTACCATTAAGGTCTCTTAAGAAATAAGAAAATATAATTATGAGATGAATGGAATATGGTATATCATAAAAGTAAAAGCATGTGTACTAATTAATCACACCTTATACCCATTTTTCTCCAAAGTTAATTTAGTTCTATTTTACATAAAATACACCTCTATCAAATGTATTTACTTTTGTCCTGAAATTCAAGATTTGTCCAAATATCTTAGCCATCGTTAAATTGATAATAATTAAAAAAAAAAAAAAAGGTGGCAACCACTAGTATTGCTTAAAAGTTGCGTGCAAAGCATCTTTGACCCATATAGTTCACTAACTTGACCACTTTTTTTCCTTCCCTCGAAGGTAA